TGTTCCTTTAACTTCTGCGTGGAACATAGGACTTTATTGAGGTTTCAATAACAATGGATTTTTTCCGGAATTAGATTATTAGCCTAATGTCCAGCCCTCAGGCTGGGGGATTCATATATATATTCACTGATATATACCTACAATTTAACATCGGATCTGAACGACGCTAGTGATTAAAGGTCTCTTAATTACCAGATGGAGCCATTTTCCGTTCCTTAAATACAAAAAATCGCGTATATGGGCACAGGTGGGATTGAATCTGCAGATCACGAGTTAACCACGAGCGGCACTCGACTCAAATCTAATATATTTAGAACTTCTTTCAAAAAATGTTTACAGCTAATAAAAAAAGCAATTTTATATGTGAACTTATATGTACATATATAAATGTAAGTCGTAAATTATATAATAAGTGTTATATAAGTTATATAAATTATATGAGTTATACAGTAATTTGTTAATGTTATCGGTAAACACTAAAAAAAATTAAATCTATGTGATAATAAACAGTAATTTATTATTTGAAAAAGAAAATTGAATAAATAAAGCTAAAATTAGAATTAAAAATAAATTATCTATGAAATAATACATAATATATTAGTAAAAATTTCCAATATGAAATGCTAATATAATATACGTAGTGCGCGCGTAATACATAAATATTAAGATTTATAGTTATTTGATTCGACTAATTGCCAGAAAAAGAATTTAATTAGAGAATGCTTTTGTGATGTCCAAATGTGTACAAAGTAATTTAATAAATTATCGCTTGATGACAATGCTTTATATAATAAATAAGGTTTTTGATATCACTACTTAATGTACCATAACAATAACAATTTATCACTTTGTAAAATAGAAAAAATCAGGTTTTGATTTATTACGTATTATACTGGAATTTGATAATTATCTGGCCGACGCGCGCGTACACGCTCCGTAAACTGGAATTGTGTTTGTCATGATACTCTTTTTGGAGGAGGGAAGAAAAATATATTCTCATTGGATTGACTCGATGCGCGACTCCCAGGCGAGAAAACTCGTCGTCGATTCGTTACAAAAGAATCCCCGAGCTACTTGAACATATACACGTCCTATAAAAATGTGCGTGGCATTTTATATCGAGCGAGACCGTTCCCACGACACCCCGTGCGCCACTCCGATGGGAATATTTTATAGGGGTGAATTTGTACGTACGAGCGCAAATACATGCGTATGCGTGCATATGTGTATCCTACACATGCGTACGTCTCGTGAGGCTGGTTCTAACGGTAATCAACGTGCTCGCATTTTCATCGGCGGTATGCTAATCTTAATAATACGTTTTGTTTTAGAAAGAGAAAGAGAGAGAGAGAGAGAGAGAGATTCCTATGCAACTCTATTAGCCAAATAATTGAACATATCAAAATCTATTCATTTTCTTTAAGAAATAAACAGAGTTGACGAGGTTACCTCATAAAAATAACTCGTTACCGTTACCGTTCTTTTTCTTAAAAAGTAACTCGTTATTGTTACTCGTTATTGATTTGCAAACGTAACTCGTTACCGTTACCGTTCTTCAAAACGTAACGAGTCGTTACTTTTTCGTTACTTTCTTTTCTTGACACTAATAGAATATTATAGCGTTTTCATTGTGCGCACTCAGTGCACATTGAAGCCGTTGTACACAACTCTAAATGTAAAAATGAGATATCTCAATTGATGAAGTGCCTAAAGTATATTTTATCAAATAGCATAATAAAACGTATTGAGGATTTCGCGGTTTAACTCGTTTCTATATTTTTATTAACCATACATCTTTACGTCGATTGTACAGCGACTTTAAAATGCATTGAATGTGCACTAGTTCTGCCAACAAAAAACGCCATTATATGCGTAATTAAATTTCTGCGATAAATACAAAAAAGATGTCAGAATTCTATTTTTTAGTAGAGAAATAAAACTCAAAAACTCTGATAAATGTATATACGCTCTAGTTACGATTAAAACTTTTATGTATTATAAATAGAAATAGAGTAACGATAAAAGTAACTAGTAAAATCGTTACCATTACCCCAAAAATGTAACTACGTTATCATGAACGTTACTCAGAAGAAAATGTAACGTCATTACCCAATCGTTACCGAGTAACTTGTAACTTGTAACGATAACGATGTTACAACTAACGCATTACTTGCCAACCTTGGAAATAAGTTATCCTGATTTATTGTTAAATAAAGTTAATGATTAATGATTATTTATGATTATTTAATATTATAACGAATAGTTGTTAAGTAGTTTCATAAAAATTCTAGATTTTTAATAAAAATCTATAATTTATTGTAGATCATCAACAATGAATTACATCATAAAATTACTCATTTCGACTTCAAAATCTATCCAATTCGTTAAGTATCTGCAGAAATTGGGCAAATGCGAAATTTAGTTGAATTTATCATAATTTAAACGGCAAATTTCCAAAACTTTGATCAAACAATATCTTGAGGATGAATGAATTTCACTAAATATATAAATACAAAAAATGATCATAAAATTTATATTTACATTAAGATAATTTAATCATAGTATGTTCACACACACTTTAAGATTGTCAAATTGAATTACTAATAAAAAAAATATAATAACTTATTTTTCAAAGGAAGCTTTTTATATTAAAATAAGCAATTGCATACATCTACAGTGTAATCGTGAATATCAATGTTACATTAGCAACAATTCAAGGATAAGTTTAGGTCTTACTGCGTGCGCATGTTACAATATGCAATCGCTCTACAACTGCCTGTCATTCTCCCATATTTAATTGTCAATAGAAATAAAGTTTATTCGATACATATTTATAATCCTTGCATCATTTATTATGGAATACCATAGAAAATATAAAGCATAGGGTAGAGCGGGGCGAGTTGTGACACTTTTTCTTTAAATTATTATAAATCTTCACATAATTATGATAGACTATTGGTAAATACTTTAAAACGTTGCATGTTCATCTGGCTCAATAATTAAGTACTTATATAAATCCTTAATATATCTCGTAAATAAGAAAAAAATTACGTTCATTACATGGATGCAAAGTGGACCAATATGCCCCATCTATGGGGTATGTTGAGCATCCTCGAAGGATAAGTTGAGCCATGAAGATAATCGTTTAATGAGGTTATATATTATTAAAAACATGAAAGGATTATGTGTATATTAATCAAATTTTTATTAATATAATAATTTGTAATATTCTTTCTTTTTAAATTCTTTAATTAGCAAAATTCGAAAATCTTTACTTTTTATAATAATAACACAGGCCTGCAAAATTGGAGATGTTGAAAGTTGATTGGGATTTAATAATGTTTTCTTACGTAATTTTTTGCGCTGAATCCGAATCCGGCTACAGAATTGCTCTATCACGTCAAGATTTTGAGATATCCTAACTTAAAACTGCCAAAAAGCCGTTTTCAATTATATTTTAAATTAAATTAAGAATTAAGAAAATTTTTGTTGTCAAATCCATCAACGGTATCATTTACTACTATACGACCCCTTCAAAATCCATTTTAAACCGTCTCAAAGTGATTTTTTCTTTCGAAGATATACTTATTCAAAGTTCAATAAATTGTACCTCATAGGAGCCTAAGCGAATACTAGAGCGTTATATTAGAACAAACTGTATTTCTGGACAGATTAATTGACTCTTCTACCTTTTGTCGCAGAATATTTTTAAATCTGCGAGAATTGTTATACTTTCATTGTTCATGTCTTATTAGTATTTTATGTTGCTGTCTCTAGCAGTAGAGTAGAGCGGGGCTATTTGAGCATAGGGACAAGTTGGTCAAATGCAAATATCTAAATAACCAAAATATATATAGATACATATATACTTGCGTAATGTAGCACAAAGACAGAGATTACTGTACCTTAATATAATAATGTGTGTCCGGCTGTCAACAGCCAAATGTGCTCTTTTTCGTTTTTGTATATTAAAAGTAAAATTATTAGGTGAGTATTTTTTTTGGTATACATGGTAATTAAAGATTAAACATATTTTACGTTTAATTACACAGTCCTGCATGGTTTTGTTGATTGAGATTTGACAATGTTTTCTTACGTAATTTTTTGCGCTGAATCCGAATCCGGCTGCAGAACCATTGCAGACTGTACCTCTTATTTTCATTTTTGCACTAAAAATTCATTTTTACGTAAAAATGAAAATAAGAGGTACAATCACCAATGGCCTTGATCTTGACAAATGTTATCCAGGACATGATCCTGAACAACATTCAAGAGGTTTTAACCGTCGGTCGGACAACTTGTGTAATGCTAATGCCATGCTATACTGTAACTTTCGAGCCTTATAACTCGAAAAATATTTAATGAAAACATATTTTATTATAGTGTTTTGGAAAGCTCTCGAGATAAGCTATAAGAATATGTAATGAAAAATAGTGGATTTAATTTAAGAAATTGAAGGTGACCTTCATATGACCTTTAAGCGACTATCCAAAGTCAAACCAATGGTATCATTTTATGGCCCCCTTGAAACCATACAACTTTTGTCTGAAATATTTTCTTGTAAAAGGGAACGGAAATATTTGGGATGATAGATTAAAATGGGTCACCCTGTATAATATCATTTTTTTAATGAGAAATTGTATTTTAAAGTTTTTTCTTAAAATTTATATATCCCATTTATTACACAGGAAAAAGAACCATTTAACAATTCCAGTTACATATTCATATATGAGAAATATCTAAATTATCATAAGAAAAATAAAATTAGACGGAACATGAATTTGTAGTAATATATCATAAAAATATAAATTGTAAAACACTCTTCTGAGTAATACATTTCATTCGTTACTACTATTTTTTACTTGGGCTAATTAGAGTAATTGCATATTGATAAGTACTCGCAGTTTGACAAGTTAGTTTGCATATCGCAACGATATCTTCTACAAGTTAGAAGTGAATATCCTATATAAACGCGAGTTTTAGGTAAAAAAAAAGGAGTATTATTTTAGAAGTCTCAAGAAGTAATACACAAAAGTTAGGACAACAATGACAAAAATTACAATCATAAATTGCATCATTGCAGCTGTTTACGTAAGTTTTTTAATTCTTGAATCTAAAAGTTATTTAGATAGTAAAAATTTAATATTTAACAAGAATTGTAAAAACTTTAAAAATTTTATTTGATATCTATTTTATAATTTACATATAACTATACCTATAAAATAACATAGTGTGTGTGTGTGTGTGTGTGTGTGTGTGTGTGTGTGGGTGTGTGTGTATGTGTGTGCAAATGAAAGTGTTCTTTTGTTTTTCTAATATTTAAAATAATTATGCATATATTACATATTTTACGTATTGATTTTATGAATTTATTTATATAATTCTAGATTTTTCAAACAGCAGAGGCAAGATTTTTTGATAAATCACCATTAGATAGTGTACAAAATCCAATTTCAAATATCATTGAAAAAGTAAAATTGGGAAAAGATGGAATCCAAAATGAAAAGGTAGCTTATGATAGAGTAAGATTTAATTTCAATGTGACTAACTAAATATAGAAATCGTATAAATTAGTTACATTTTAATATTATTTTATGTTTAAAAATAAGCAATTTTAATTTCAATCCATATCATAGAGCAAAAATATTATTTCATCAGTTATTTTACCAAATTAAATTGACAATTCATTACAATACGTGATAGTAAACTCATAATTTACTCAACAATATTTAATACAAATTTGAATTTAATATATCTATATTAATTCTAAATGGTTAGTCTACATATAATCAAAATAAAACAAGCAAAAATATATAACATGGAAAAATTTAACTGTGATTAATGCTGATAAACGTAGATATTACAAATGAATGGTATTCATTAAATAACAATAAGAATACAAAAAATAATTGTATGTTCACTTTCATAATTTCATAACATATTACATGATTTGTAATGAAATTATAGCAAAAAATTTATATCTCTTCTACAAGTAGTAAATCCATTTAATTATTATCTAGTATTATAAATAAAATTTTAATTAATATATATTTTGGATTATTTATTTTAGAATATAATGCAATGTACCTACATACGAGTATATACTCGTATGCAAGGGTAGGCCATTTTAATTAATACACGCGAATATCTCGAAAAGGAAAAATTTTTTCAAAATATTCGCATGTATTGATTAAAATGACCTACCCTGTATATATGTAGATATGTATATGCCTATATAGAATTATTCCTTATATACATATATACATATACGATTAATTCTCAATTGTATTATTAAAAAAATTAATTTTACAAAAACATTTTTAAAGGCAATATTTTAAAATTGCATATTGCTAATTTTTTAAATTTCATATAGTTAACAGATGGACTTGTAACACCCGAAACAGGACTTTCAACATTTGCGTCATGCATTAATACGACTAATATTCAACAAGTTATCGAGCAAATAACAAAACCTCTTAATACGTGCATTATACAAAAAATTAATTCGACTGAAAAATTGACCAATTTACTGAATAATCTGCAAAATATATCAAAGCTCTTTCAAGATGTCTTAAATTGTATATTAAAGCCGCCTTTAAATTTGACATACTTAAATGAGGTAAGTGTTTCAATTAATTTTTACTTGCTTTAATTTTTAAACATTCTTTTTATAATAATCTATAAATATTTTTATAATATAATACAAAACTTTTGGTAATGTTAAAATGTACTCTTGTATTCTAATGCATTAAAAATGTTTATACAAAACTTTGATTAAATAAAACGTTAAATAAATATGTGACCTATTTGCTTGTCTTTTTGACAACGTCGGAGTAAAATTTTTACTATTAGATCCACACACACATTTCGCTAAAATACTATTTAATATATAATTAAATTATATATATATACAAAATTTTCATGCATATAACATTTATTATTTTAGAAATTACTTCATTAATATTAATTATATTTTTATTAAGAGTTGCAAATATTATTTTGTACAAGTTTTATATATTTTTTTTTAATTTAGTAACGTCGGTGAATGTCGATCACTGATTCAGCATTTAAAGTTCAAGTGCTGTTCACAGGTGACCAGCACAGCATTTAACCTGTTAAATTATAATTATTCAAGACTTTTTAAAAGAATTTTAACATATTTTTTCAGGTTGTGAACAAGGTTTCCGAACTAGCTTCCAAAATAAATGAAACTGTGAATGCGGCATATGAAGCCATCGGAACGTTCCCCGATATAGGAGTGTGCTTTACATCAGAAATTCAGAAATTACCCGATCAGTTTATAAATCAAATCATCCAAAACTTGATACAATGTGTCCCAAATTTTAAGCTACTATTTAAATTATAAATTATTTATGTATCAATATAACTCTATTTTTATTTGTATTACAATATACATAAATATATATGTATAGTATATATATCGTAATATAAAGACATAGAAATATTATATATATTTTATCACTGTGTGTTATGTAAAAGAATGATACTTTTTTCACACTGCACATATTTTTCAAAATATAAAATATAATCAATAAATAATAACACTGTTGTGGCTATCTATCCGAATTTAAAAAACTAAATATATATAGAGCACCGTATAAATCACAATTATGCAAATAAAGAAGATTTTAGATTGATTAAATTTTTTAAATGTTTTATTTTTATAGATCATTTAAAAGATTATACAGGATGTCCCAGAAGAAAAGGTATTGATATTGGTTTGGATAAGATCAATATTCTGAGAGATATTGATATCGGTCATTTTAAGCAAAAATATTCATATAAACTATGTTTTGAACAGAAAAATACATTGATGTTATTATTGACTTAAAAAAATTTTTTACTTGAACAATCAATTATGTATAACAATGGACTCCTTACGATTAAAAAATTAAGTTTAAAGGGGCTAATTAGGAGTTAGCGCGGTAAAAAATGCGCAAATTTATACTCACAAACCTATTTAATAATATAGAGTATATTTTTAATTATTACTTTGAATCTGAACGTTTCGGCCATAGCTTTTGGTCATCTTCAGCAGAATACATACTTCGATACACTCTAATAGGTATTTGTCGCAATACATCAGTTAGCAAATCTAAAGATTTTCTTATCGTTGGTTTCAATCTACAAAAAAACACAGATGGTTTAGATCGTACAATGTCATACTTAATAAATGTAAATAAATTCAGATTGACATACACAATTGTCAACATCGTTCTATGTCCTTTCTGTATCTGACTTAAACACATATTTTAGTTATTATATTCTCGAACGTCAAACAGATAAGAACGTTTTATATTCTGAGGACTTTTGACTTTTATAACATAGTTTTACAAAGATTTTAATTGCGAAGTTACGGAGTTTGAGGTGGGCACAATTGTTAGTCAATTTAAACTCAAATTTTATTTTTACAACTCACATTTTTATAATTAGAACACAATTACGATTACCAAGAAGATAGGCAACTTCTTTGTCTGATGATTGTGCTTCCCCTTATGTTCCAGAGTATCAAGAAGTATGACAATGATACATAGTTACGCATTTGAAGCTTCCACGGTTATCTTCTTCGATTATATTAGAGGCATCGACCATGAAAGAAGACACGGTGATAACCCGCAAACCTTCTAATATAATGATACATAATATCAACGATAAGAAGATCTGTAAATTTGCTAACTGATATATTGCGACGAATATTAGATTGTATCGAAGTATGTATTCTGCTGAAGATGGCCAAAAGCTATGGCCGAAACGTTCAGATACAAATTAATAATTAAAAATATATTCTATATTATTAAATAGGTTTATGAGTATAAATTTGCGCACTTCTTACCGCGCTGACTCCTAATTAGCCTCTTTAAACTTAATTTTTTAATCAATTATTAGAAAAAGTATATACTACCTTTTTTTAACAATAATTTCGCAATTACATATTCAATCTCGGAAATTATTTGGAACACATGTTTATACGAAAATTTTTGCTTAAAATAACTGATATTATCACCTTCCAAAATACTAATCTTTTATTCTAGAATATCTTGTATACTGAAAAAATTTAATAAAGCAGAATTTTAAAAGATATATACAGTTATCAAAAATAATAACCAAATAGATAATAGATACAATTAATTTAAAAACACAAAATTTAAACTCCTTATATAAATCAGTAAATGTAAATGTGTAATTGACAAACGAAAAAAGGAGTAAAATGAAAGGAGGATATGAAAGAGTATCTAGAATAAAAAAAGCGAAAAATGAATGAGAGAATAAGAGAGTGAACAAGAAGACATTCAAGATAAAACTATCACGGGTCTGTGAACATCGTGTTTGATACAAAATAGTCGCATGGGTGCGGCACAACATATATAATCGCCATTATGAGAAGTGACGAAGAACCGATCAATGTCACCATTGAACCATAACGTTTATACTGTTTTCGTTAGAGGAAGCTATATAATAATTAGAATTTGTAAAAGAAAACACTGTTGTCTCACATTTTGACCGTGTCAACGTCAATTAGAAATATACTTTTATATCGCATTCCGACGAAATTTATATTTTACATTAAACAATTCTTTCTTCGCAAGATATTCAATAATTTTGTATGTATAAAAATATCACAAACGTGGCGATTGCGTGGAGTAAGTGAATCAAACACTATTACTCCCAGTGATTGTTAAACACGATTACTCATCGATAACTGAGTAATCGTATTAATTATAATAATGTTACTTACGGCAGGAATAAAAATACAAAAAGTAAAAAGCGTGATATAACTGTGAATGCATCATAGAAAATAAACCACAGAAAAGCGTGAAATATTATTATGAAAGAAAAAAATGATCCTGAAATCAAGCGTATACGATGTCACATAATTAATGACTAATGATTGCTTATAGTCATTGTGTAGAAATAGGAAGAATAAGAGATGACAGAGGAAGAGAAATTTTTTGTTATTCAGTCATTTCACTATTTATTGTATACAGAATATTTCAGGTATATGTATATATATTTGGCGTTATATATTGCAATATATAAACAAAAATAAAAAATGTTATGTAAACATAAATTCATAGAAGATTTATTAAAAAGTTACAATAAAATAAAATTCTAGTGGTGTAAAATTTAACGATCTTGAAAACCAAGAGACTGCGGCGGACAACTCTCTAATTGCATCCATGCCATGCATTATGAAAATTATATGTTCATTAAGAAAATTAAAAAAATTTTTTTTCATAACTTTATTAGTCCATACATAATTATTTGTCATAAAAATAATCTTATTATTGCAGCAATTTTAATTCCTTCTCTTTTTGTTATATATTTAGAGTTAGACATGAAACGTATATAATATAATAAAAATAAGTATATATTTATTTTTTCAATGAGACCATGTCTCTTAAATTTGATGTTTATATTTTCACAGCAAATATTTAATTACACACACACACACACAACATGACTAAAACATATTTCGAAACACAAAACAATCGTGACAAAGCTCTTTGTTAACAAAGTTACAGCAAGTAGTGACAACAAAGCAAAATGCGAAGTTTGTCAATCTCTTGTTTGAGTCACTGCACAACGCCTTAGTACAATCAAACCTATTTACATCGCATCATAGGAATGAATGGTTGCCTATAATGCAGGGCATACATATACCTTAGCTTACCAGGTCTCGATACATAAATAATTATTGCAAATTTATTATATAAAACATTATTTATTTTTCAATGTTACTTTTAGTAATAAAAAATTTTTATAAGTTTTTCTCTTTAATTAGATAGCGTAATTTTATTTCAAGAAATAAAAGTATGTTTTCTTTAACTGCATATTTCGGTTAAATGAGATTTCTTTAATTTAAGTAATTTAACCAAGAAATATTGTAACTTAGCTAAAATTGAAACTATTTAATGTCTGCATTAATAATTTTTAAAAAGAAGATGGTTCATTATGATGAGAAAATGTCTTAGGTATGCTTATATTCAAAGAAAATGTCTTCTTAAGTATGCTTATATACATTTTTTTTAAACAAAAATTGTATCTCAGTATCCTCTTTAAATAAGAGGTACTAAAAATTCATATTTTAAAAAGTTTAACTAGACATATACATATATCTACGTTGCGGTATATATTTGTTTCCTTTATAAGTGCTGAGTCAAACATCAAAGAGAAAGAATCTGTTATCGAGATCTTATATTAACGCAGGAATAAGCGCGCAACTGTTTGATAAATATTACAAATTTCCTGAAATAAATTTCATCAATTATATTATGCAATTTGTAAAAATATGAAACATGACCATATTAAATTAGTATCGAATTTTGTATATAATAATGTCCATATGAATCATATTCTTTTCCATAGAAAAATTGAAATATTATTTTTAATTATCTAATAATTTTCTACTTATATATAATGGAGAATAAAGGAAACTTCTAAAAAATAATAAATCATTTTTTATTAAATTTTTTCACGCATAATGTACATACTACTTAAAAAAAATTTAAGTTTTTTCTAGATTCTTTTAGAGATTCAATCTATTCTTGGAAAATGTTTAATTTTGATTCTTTTCACTATTGCAAATCACGTCTATAAACATTAAAACAAAGCACCGTATACATTCTGCGTCTGCACGACAGTTTTACGGCATTACTAAGAACAGTCGCGAACAAGGATGAAAACCGCAAATCCATGCAAACCACGAGATATGGGTTGCAAACTCGGCGTCGAGGTGATAAAACGTAGTCAATTTGTTCGCTCTATGCAAATGTTCTATTAACTCTTGTTATAGTAATATGAAAATAGCAAAATAAATAAATAGTGTATATTTTAATTCTTTATTTTGTGAATAATGTATCTTAATAGTTTAAAAGGACGAGACGATAAATAAAATGAGTCTACAGCTTCGTTTATTTTTAATGAAGTTACGACTTCAATTTTGAAATTCGTAGCGCTACAAATTTTTGTTCCAACTCAATATTTCTCAAATTTCTATTTATCCAGAGATTTATCTATCTTAATCTAGTCTTAACAAATCAATAATTAAAATCGATGCTTTAATATAAAAATATAATATAAAAATTGTTAGCTATTATTAAATTTTTCAAAATATCTAAAAAAAATATTTCTTTTCACGTTCTATACAATATTATAATATACGTAATTAAAGATGTCAATCAATAAAAATATTTCAAAATAATAATTTATTTATTATTTATTATTTGTACTGTATCTTTTCAATATTTTTATATTTCTAAGAGTACCAATATTCCGATGTTTTTTTATTATATAATACCAGTATGATTGAATTTATTAATTTGGCAATTGTAGCCAATTTTGCTA